AAGCGCTTGAAGAAGTTTTTGTATTTCTTCTTCAGTTAATCCTGTTTTCCTTTTGGCATCTTGCTGTATGAAAGCAATACAATTTATAGAAAACTTACCAAAAATGTAATATTCTAAAGCAGTGCAAAGCTCTGTTTATGCTTTACAAATGCGGTGATCCCAAATTTTGTAGCTACAAGAATGAAAAGCGAAAAATTGGGGAAACCGGATCCTTAACACAAAAACCTTTGAAAGAGATAAGTGGTTAAAGCCTAGGGACGTCAAATTTGACATTTCATCCGCACTTTTAGACTCAAAAATAGGGGAAAAGTCATGGCCCCCATTCTTATATAAAACAAAATTGTTTAAACCTTTTCTTCTTTCTTAAATACCTTACTTGTCATTTTGCAGGGGGATATCAGCCAGCTAGGCTAACCATTTAATATATCTATATTCTTCAGAATGCCATCGATTTTTGTAATTGAGTTTTTAATCCTTAAATAATAACTTTATTTTAATGTTATTCATATCATTTAATATGTCCTCGTCTTTATAAATTTATTTATTATTAGTTAATAATACTTTCAGATTTCAGGCAATTTTCTCTGGCATTGTTATGAAATTAAATCTAACAGTATGATGACCTACCATCACATAATTTAGTGCACATACATTTTACTTGAATTTATTTAAAAATATCATTTAAATGGATTTCTTTCTTCCTTTAGCTCCCCTTTTCTTCCTTAGCAAGACAATTTTTAATCCCGATTGGAGAGATTCTAATCTCAATCCTCAGTGGAACAAGCAACTCCTATTATAGTTTTAAAAGTAATGCTTTGGAAATATATAATATATATATAAAGTCATATGTAAGTGGAAGATTTTTTTCAAGTGGTATCATAATTAATTTACCCTCAGTACAGCCAACACACACTGTGCAGATATCCTGGAATTTTCTTGAAACACACCTGGAAAACTTGGAAGAGTCTGGGAATTTCATTCTCATGTTTGAGCCCCTGTAAACCCTGTAACCTGGCAACCCTGTAAATTGCAGTGTGGCATAGATGTAGCATGTGCTCAGCAAATGCATGCACTTCACTGTAACATATGAGGCTTTCCATCTACTGTGTCATTCATGTCTGTGTGATACCAACTTCATTTGCTATTTTGAGTTCAAGCAGCATATTCTTTGAAAAATGCATTTTTAATTTAAGCAGTATATTCATTATTGCGCTTCCAAGTGAAGGAGGCTATTTCAATTCATCTTTATTGATCTTCAGAGGAAAAAATTTGTTTAATCATCCAAATTCTATAAATTCTGCTAAAGTCTTTCATAGAGTATATCTGCTAGATTGGCAGTTGGTTGTAATGCCAGGTATTCTATAAGGGAAAAAAAGAAAAGATCCCAGATAAAGAGGAAGAAATGTTGCAGAATTAATAACTCTTATGTTCTTATCTGCAATGATCCATATAGTAATTCAAGCTTATGAGGGGTTCAAGAGGCAAATTGAGAACTCAAACGCGATAACTCGTTTACTGATTGATAACTGTAACACTTATTATGAGATTAAATCTTTAATTGCAGCACTGAATGATTTTTTTGCCATAATGCTACCAAATAGCACATTTGCCTGTGATATTATTAAATAAGTACTTCAGTAAAGTACAGAATTTTCAGTTGAACGAACAGTTTCATGCCTACAGATGCCAAATTCAGGTTATGTAAGATGAAAATCAAAGAGTAACATTAAAATTTTTTCCAAGAAATTAGAGGCAGTATGGAAGAAAATCGTTGACTTTTACAATAGTGTATCTGCATAATTGTTAGAATATTATCTCCCTTTAAAATTTGTTTTCTTCAAAGGTGCACTTAATAAAATTTTTAAATAGCACTTGCTTGACAATCTTATAGAAGATTATGACAACTATAACTGAAATAATTGAAAAAAAATGAGCTTTCTGCCAGTATCAGAGAATTATCTTTCTTTATATGATACATATATTCAAGTGAAGGTTAGGCCCTATGGCCAGATTTACTATGCTTTACTGTCATTTCAACAATATTGTTAGTGAATGAAAATTCTGTGGGGCCACTTGGAATAAATGCTTAAAAGAATAGAGAAGTAGTCTTGGAAAAGGCAAGTTTTGTGTTATTGCATTTAAGAGGTTATAAGGTATTTTTCCCGCCTCCTTAGCGAGCCTCCATGGTGTAGTGGTCTGCATGCTGGGCTGGTATTCCAGAGGTCCGTGGTTTGATTCCTGAAAAAGGCAGTTGCTATATTTTCATCTTGCCTGCTTCAAAAAGTACTTAATGTCTTTACAGTGGCTCCCGAACTAAAAGAAAGGGTGTAGGATGATGATTCTCTTCACCCAGGATTTTGCGATTGGGTCCCCTAAAAAATAACCCCACTTGCCAAAAGGGGAACTGTATAAGGTACTTCTCCCACCTTCTTAGCGTGCCTTCATGGTGTAGTGGTCTGCACATTGGGCCAGTATTCCAGAGGTCCATGGCGAAGGCAGTTGCTAATTGTTCATCTTGCCTGCTTCAAAAGATACCTAATGTATCTACAAGGTTATCACATACAGCTACAATCCTTGCTAGACAGGACTTTTCTGAGAAACGAGATTCTAGTAGCACTGATTTAAATGGGAGGAGTCTTAGAAAAAAGAGCTACACTGGAAGCAAAGGCCCGCCTAGCTACGGAAACTATGGTTGCAGCTATGCAGATTTTTTCAAACCTTGCCGAAAATGTCTCGGCTGGAGAACCTAGGTAGAGACCCAGGCTACCTGGTCCCAGGTAGAGACCAATCAGACGAAAGTTCTGCCTCTGAAGGATCACGTGATCCCAGTCTGAGCAATAATCGATTATTGTTTGGCGTTCAAGTCTTTGTAGTAAGTGAAAATGGTTACCTAGCTACGTGGATTTCCTGGAATTGTGCGGGTTCTGAGAGTGGTTGCTTTTGACGTCAAGTCCCGCGTAGGCAAAAAATAATGTGATTGGGATCTAAAGATGATAGGCAACAAAATGTATTTCCATGGGAATGCATTGTTTAGATTTTTTTAATTCAAATTGATTTTCTGTTTGACGTAATTCTGTTTTATAAATACAAGGCTGGGGGGTTACCAGTGTAATAAATATTATTTATTAATAATAGACCGAATATACAGAGAGAATAAGAGGCGTCTTTTTCTATCATTTTTGCATATAATTACAAGATCTATTTAGGCATTTATCTGAACGCAGGGCAACTTGTTTAACCGGGCTTGGTAGAAATCATGTCCCTGCCCATTGAGCCAGTTATTGGTAGCAGGTTTCACATCACTCTCTGAAGAACACCTCACTTCAGGTAAATGTTTCTTCAGTTTTGGAAAAACGAAATAGTCAGTGGGTGCTAAATGTGGGCTATATGGGAATGAACCCAGATTTCCCACCTCTGTGGCAGTTTTTGAGTTTGGCGACCAGTATGAGGCTAGGTATTGTCATGCAGGAATATGTTACTATCACTCAGCAAGCCAGGGCAATTATGTTGGATAGTTATTGCCACTTCTCAAAGTGTCACAATAATGATCGGCAGTAACAGTATGGCCATGCTTCAGATACTTGATCAGGATAATGAATCACGGCTCACACTTCCAAGCGGAACTATTTTTCTAAATGTCTTGCTATTTCAATTTCTCTCATGCATCTGTGACTTATTCTACCAACCTGCACAACCACTGTGAGACAACTAGTGCCATCTCTCTACACTCTGGAAAAAAAGTATCCCATCCACAATACTTACTTTTCAAATGATTGTAACCTTGTTTTTGGATCCATCTATGTACATTGTGTATTTGGAGTAGAATATAATGTACAAACTGCATGGCTGAATTATGTTTTGAATAGGTAGTCTTAGACCCATGGTTCTGTTTGAGAAGACAATTTAAATAAAGTATTATTGGAAGCGCTAAGGCAACAAGAATCAGCATAATACTCCTAAATTTGAAGGACTAGTTTTGAAACTTTAAATACAGAACCTTTAACCAAGTCCTACAAATTTAGCAAAATAATGCTGATTTTTATAGCCATAGCACCTCCAATAATCTTTATTTGTCACGATTTAAAGAAGGCATGTCTTCAGACTATGTTTCGACATCATCAAACCTTTTAGTAGAAATATGTTAAGCTTGAAGACTTTTATGCGGATATTTATAAGAAAAGCCTCAATGACAAGTGTTTTCATAGACAGGCCAGTTAAACAGAAGACATTTTGTTCTTATATGATCAAAATTATTCTTGATTTCATTAATTAAAATTTTGTGAATGTTGTTAATTAAAATATATGTGTATGGTGTGGGTGTATATATAGATATATATATATATATAATAATTTTGATTTGAAATTTCTGAATGCCAATTTCTATTTGCTTTGAAGTTTCTGAACGCCAATTTCTAAAAGATATTTATTTCTGTAGAAAAATGTCAGTACAAAAACATGAGTTAATTTTTTCATTTGTAGAAATGCTAATTATCGAAATTTATTATGTAACAATTAAATTTTTATACATCTTCTAAAATATGGTCTTCCTGTTCTATTTTCTGAAAGTGAAAGTGGTTGGATGTACAGGTTTGTCATTTTTAAGGGTGGTTTTACATATTATAGGTTTTTTTTTTTTTTTGTTTTTTTTTTTTTTTTTTTTTTTTTTTTGATCTTTAGTTGGGTAAGGAATGGCTTAGTAGTTTGAACTTTGATCTGCAACATTTGTAAAAGGACTATGTAAAAATAAAAAAAAAATTGTTTTTTTCTGTGAACTGTTGGAGCCCTAAATTCTCTTAGTCTGAAAGTGTGATTTGCTTATTTTCTTTCTTATTTCTTCTCATCTTCTTTTAATTTGGAACCTTTGGCCTATCGCCGAGATATTTAATCATGCAGTTTTTTTTACAATGCTTTATGTAATTGTATACTTAACTAATTTATGTGTTTCAAATTTGGCTCATATTAAGAAATGACAACTCATTTGCATTTTATTGATATTTCAGGTATTCTATGATTTGTAAATTTAAAAAAATGCGTCGTAAAATAAGAGACTTTTTTGAAACTGAGGAAAGCAGAGTGGATGCTGAAAAACAATGGCAATTTAAACTGCAGTGTTTCTACAATGAGCCTGATGAAATCTTTGTGTAGCTGTACTATATTTTAAAATTTGAAGTGATCATGAATTGCAGTGCATTCTAGGATAATTTAATTTTTTAAATGTTTTATATTTTCAATGAAAATGCCATAATTTTACAATTTATATATATGCATAAAATGATTCTATCTGAAATAAGGTTTTAAAAAAGTTGCATTTTAAGTATTGTTAATTTGGATGCAATTATATTCTTTTAATTGCTGTATTTTTAATATTATCGATTGTGGAACAATACTCCATATATATGTTACGGTGATTGCAATGCAGATATGTACTAGTCAAAATGAGGTGTGTTTTTATATGTATATTTGTATTTTTAATAAACAGTACTGAACATCGTTTATTTGTTTCCTGTAATTAGTTGCAGTTTTTAATGTAAATCCATAATTTCTTTAATATTTTTCAGTTGTAAAAAAGCACTGTGAAAATTATATGCATGAAGTGTATTTTTGTATTCCTCCTTTAACTCTGGAAATTTAGCCTAGATCTTTATCAATATGCACATTTTGTAATGTACAGTTTGCAACTATAGGTATAAAAAAAGAAGAGAAAATAATGCTGATAGTTGGAAAGGTAAATGAAATTTATATATAATATTAATCCAGTTAAGATGATATGCTTTCAAATGAAATAAAATTTGACCACAGGTTAGCATTCATTGTGAATTAAAGATTCTAGAATAAACTGATGTAAACCTCTTTTTCATTAGGGATAGTATTCTGCGTATGTATCCATGATTGCATAACATTAAAAGTCACCATAATAAGCATATTTTCCCATCAGTTGACCAAACATGAAGGAAGAAAAAATGCGGAAACTGCTATAAGACTTACTACAGGATGTTGACATTCGTAGTCAAAGCTGACAGAAATTGATTTTTAAGAAAAAGAATTCTAGTTCGTGAACAAAGAATTTTGTTGCAAATATTTAGATGAAAATTGAAAGCCTGGGCAAGAGACCAGCATTAATTAGAAATGCAAAATTTAGATAAAATTGGAAAGATTTAATCATGTATTCTGTTTCTGACATCAGATTTATTTTTCGAATAATGATTTCAAACCTTTTCTTTTTTTCCAATATATGTTGAAACAAGATTTAAATCAGTTATGAGGTTTTCATTAGCACAACATTTTATTAATAGAGCAAAAAGTAACTTGAAAATTAGATCCATTGAAATAAATTTTGTAACGGGAGAGAAAAATGTGTAAGAATTTTCCAGTTTATCAGAAAAATGTAATTTTAAGGTAAAAACAAAACTTCTTAAATCTTTATTAACAAAATAAGTGCAACTTTAGTTCATAGTATTAGCTGTTTTAAATTAAGGGAGATTATGAAGAATAAACACTAAATACTTGGAAAAATAAGAGTAGAAAGAAGTTATTTTTTCATAACAGAGTGACAAGATTCATCATGGAAGCTGAAAGATGTTGAACTTTGATCATAACCTGGGCATTATTGAATGCCTCCATTCCAGAGAATTTTGCAGTTTTGAGTTGCAAGTAGTGTGAAGTTAGAAAAATAGTTTGTAAGCCTATGAGTTCTGCCTAGCATGCTTACCTCTTAGAAAACCACTGCTAAAAACGAAATTAGTATCCAAAGATACTTTAGCTTGATTAGTAAATTAAGATTTTGAGTTAGCTTTTGGTTGTCAATCCACAGCCTGTAGCTTCTCTTTGAAAATCTGGAACTGTAAATATAATGACTGTTAAAGGGCATTTTAATTTCACTGCCATGTGAAGGTGACAGATAAATTTGTTTTGTAATATTTAACTGTATCCATCAAAAGTGATGAGGTAGAATAAATTGAAGTTATTAACTTCTAGCTGTTAGATATTGCTTATCGAACTATTGGATATTCGTGGGATTTCACCATTTAGTTAAGCTGTCAGTGATATATCTCTGATTAGCTTTTATGTAACTGCTGAGGGGCTAGAGCAGAACTTGGAGTAGGTAATGAGTAGAAATGGCTCCAGTATAGTTGTTGCAAAGTTTAAATTTGTAATATTAGAATACAGAGGAAAGGGTACTGTGGAATTTCAATTTTAAAGAGTTAGTTTAAGGTTAGGTTATGCATTTATTAAAAATAAAATAATAATCTTGGTATTGTACCCTTTTCTCTTTTTAATTAATTGTAAAGTTACATGGATTTGCCATAGATTGAATGTATTAATTTCTCTTCTATTTCTTTTTTTCTGTGAGCAGCACAGCCTTTTAAATCTATGTAAGAAGGATACTTTGTTATTGTATATTAAAGGAGGAGAATGCTATACTGAAGGAGACTTTGTTAGCTAGATTTGCACTAGTACTTTTTTTTAATATTCATAACTACCATTTATTAGAATGATATTTAATGCATCAAGTGACAACAAATTTCATGACTGGATTAAAAGATTCATGTCACTCAGAGGGTTAGTGAAACTTTGTGGCAAAGTTCATTAAAGCACCATAAAAACCCATTCAGATTCGGCTTTATCTTAGATAAAGGCAGTTTTGTAAAGTTTAGGATGCTTAGGAGTGTTCATTTAGAGAAGCCGCTCTTTTGATGCAGCATAGCTATTTCATAATTGAAATTTTTCGACTTTTCTGGAGCAGAATGAAAATTGACGAGAAAGTATGTAGCATCCCATCAGTACACTAATTTCAGTTAACAAAATAAAGTATTATTGAAGGATTATAGGCAGATAGCCATTGCATGCTTTGCTGTAATCAAAACAATTTAATCCAGTTAATGGAATGATAATTATAATTTAGTCACTGATATATGTATTATTACCCTATATTGTATGATTTTATTTTACATATGAAAAAAAAATGTAAGTAGGTGCTCACAATGGGAAGACTTGGTTGAAATCATAAGTTTTTATTTCTTTCCAGTTTTTTAGTATTGTTAGTTTCCTAGTTCCATTAAAAGCAGGACAAATATTTCAGCTTGCTCATCTAATGGACATCTATTTAAGTCAAATTTGAAGTATACATAAAATTATAAAATAAGTTTTGTGGAACGGTAGCAAATTAAAGTTTAAATGCCATACATATTGCATTAATGAAACAAATACTACACACACAACTAATTCTCAATAATATAAAACATCGAGGATTAAATATCCAGATTTAATGTCACGCTTTCTTATAGTATGTAGGTATTTCAGCAAGTGTAAAACAGTTATAGTTTAATTCAAATGCAGTTAACAAACATCAAAATTTGAGAGAATTCTATATGAATTTTAGCATTTTTGTATTAAGGAGGTGAGAAATTTACTGTTATGAGAAGCGATGCGATGGATGAAAAAACAGTAAATGCTCTGAATAGCATTCATAGAGGTATGGAGTATATTTTTCCCCCTTTTAAAGGGCGACTGGGAATTAAGGGACCCAATCACCAGATCCTGGTGGTGGAGAATCATCATCCACCACCTTTTTTAGTTCGGGTGCCACAGTAGAGACATTAGGTATTTTTGAAGCAGGAGATTGAATAAATGTGCAGTGCCCTTGCCGGGACTCGAATCACGGCCCTCTTGAATACCTGCCACGTGTGCTGGCCATTACACTATGAAGAGGAGAAGAAGGCGGGAGAAATACATTATAGTTCTTTATTTCTTAAACTTGTAGTATATAGAATACTTTGCGTTGAAAAATTTTGTACTGAAAATATCAGGAAAGATCGAAGATCAAAAGACTTATTAAAAGATCTTAGATCAAATTAAATCAAAAGATGAATCAAATAAAAACGAGTTTTAAAATGTTATACCAACAAACATAAATCCAATATCAAAGAAGCGAAATGAATAAATTTTCTATTGGTAATGATTGTTGTCTCCTAAATATGCTTTCAATTACTGTATCCCAAATATGCTTTCAATTACATTCTGGAAAATTACCAAAGAGGGGATTCTAATCGGTGAATTAGATATGTTTGAACTTTTGCTCATTGATCATGGTTTTTATTTTAATCCTTACATCCTGCATCCTGATTTCTGCTACTTTTAAAAGCATGCAGAAATCTTTTCCAATAAATTTTTTTTCATCTTTTGCCATTTAGCTTGCTCAGTTCAATTTACATCTCATTCACACATACATGCCTATGGGTACAGTATGAGAATATGTACAAAATTTCTTACTAGATTGTCTGTTTGATTTCATAGAGATTTTAGTTTAAGTCATTTGAATTCTAAAATTGAATTTTGTATGATTTTAACTTGATTTTCATCTGTTTAGTCTCAGCAACAGCAGTACACTGTTGATAATAAATTAAAATTTATTTAAAAGTGAAAATGTGTGTCTTTGGCGACTTTGCTATCTTAAAAATGAATGTTTTTTAAAACTGTGTTTTAGAAGTCGCATGACTAAGTTTTTGAAAATTATGCAAACTAAATATACAGGATGTGCACTCGCACTTTATTTTACAGACTTCTGTCATACGGAATTCTGGAATTTTGAATTCATCTCTTGAATGTAAAATTTAATTTGAGTTGGGGGGAACTTTTCTGGAGACTTTTCCGTTTAAGGTTCTGGAGACTTTTCAGTTTCCTACCATCAAGTGTATTGCTGTCATGCTAATACCTTGGTAGAAACAAAATTCAAATTAATAATTATATTTAATTTTAAAAACTGTAAAAAGAAATGTTCAATTTTAATTTTAGCCTTTGGGGGGCCGAGAAAGAAACTGGATTTCTTAAAAATTTTCATTTTTAGATAAAAAGAAAGCAAAGAATGCAGGAAGTTTGTATGAAATCCCTCATCTTTCAGCTAACTGGGAACGAAGAGCACAAGTATGAAAGCTTTTTCTTTAAACTAACTATAAAACATTTCTCTGTGTTATATCTGGTTAGGGCCGGATATTTAGAAGCCTTGAACACTTGTACCCCACATCTATTTACAACAGTTTTTCCCCCATTCTTCACACTCGATCGTCTGTAACTGCGCCATACATTCCATGATAAAACCGCCCACCAGCGGCCGAGCGGTAAAGTCGCTGAACATTGGTAGTGCGGTCCGAGGTTCGAAACCCGCGAACGGGCTGGCTGCATGGGTGTTTTCTTGGTTTTTACCATGTGTAACGTGTATACGAGCCAGTTTCCCTTAGAAAGTTCTCCACGAAGGCATCCCTTCTCTTAGGCAGATAGCCCTCGAGGCTTTGCCATAATCACACACACACACCATGATAAAACCGGCAATGGGAAATTTTTGTAGTGCCCTCTTTCCTTGAGTCCGTAATTGATTCCCAAAGTACGTGCTTATGTCGCTTAATGGTTATCAACTCTATGATCTCAAGTTAACTGTTAATTTTTTTTTTTTTCCCTGTGTTAATGCATGTAGTGCAGCAGTTTCTTTTTTTCTTTCTTT